TCTTCTCCTTGTCTTGTGCCTGCCATTGAGAAGATTCTGCCTGTTGTTTCCTTAAAAATATGTCCAGGTTCTGGTCAGTGCAGTGCACTGCTGTTTGGTGGTAGAAGACAAATATTTTTTTAGATAATTTGGGCCTACCCATTGGTTGCTTTGTAACTCAATTATTGGCTTCATTGAATTGAATCATGGAGTTGTCAGGAGCTAGTTTAAGTTGGGGAGCAACAATTTATAAAATTATGTAGTTCCTTCTTCCTTGTATAGAATCTGGTTGGGTCTAGACATCTAGCTGAAGCTATCTGTTCATCTACAAGAGATACTTTCCAACAGTGGAAATGTTTTATGCTAACAAAGTATCTCTGAGCCCCCATCGTAGCCTGCCATCAGAGGTGGTTCAAGCACCTACTTTGAATGCCTTCAAGAAACAAATTGATGTTTATCTTGCTGGGATCCTATGACCCCAGCTGACTTCCTGCCCCTGGGGCAGGGGGCTGGAATCGATGATCTTCCGAGGTTCTTTCCAGCCCTAATGTCTATGAAATCTATGAAATTTCTTCAAAGTTTGTAGGAGAAGTCACAGCACAATTAGGGAATCAGGATTTTTCAATGTTTGTACAGTTCTGTGAAATTCCATTCAAAATCATATTTCATCTTCTTTCACTGATGTATATCATTGCCTCAAATGAAATAAATTTATTCCTTTGATCTTCAGTAATTTAGAAGGGCAGACAAGGTTCTTTTGGTGAATCTAATACCTTTTATTAGACCAACTTAAATAGTTGGAAAAAAATTTTCTTAGCAATCTTACAGGATTCTTAGCAAGCTTACGGGAAAAAAAATGTTTCCAACTATTTAAGTTGATTTAATAAAAGATATCAGATTCACTCAAAGAACCTTGTCTGCCTATGTCTTTAGACCAACATGGCTACAACCTACTCCCCAATAATTTAGAAAGAATTTACTAAAGAAATAATTTGCTTAAATTATATATATAAATAATCTAGATAATTTGAAAGGGCATGGGCTACAAATAGTCAATGGCTATTTGTAGTAAAACTTCATTTACCAATAAAGCAAGTGACATTTCAAATTTTGTTAGGAAATGTGTAAGAAAAAATGCCTTTTTCACTCTAGGATTTTGTTCCTGTTTTTACTAATGAAAGGTATTAGTCTGAAGGAGTAGTGCTGAGTGTAATTTCTGGAGAAGCTGAGACAGTAGTTTCCTGGTTAGTTCTAATTCTGTCTGCATGTTCCTTAAAGTAAAATAACAATGACAACCAAATAGAGATAGAGGGGAAGCAGAAGGAATGATTCACCAGTACAAGCAATTCATTGTCTTGAGGGAATGAAGAGTTTAATGCATCAATGTGGAATTTGTTTTTACTTAACATTTTTGTGAATGATTTAAAGGAGGAAGCAGTATATTAATTACTTTTGCAGGTGATATAGCAAGAGAGAATTGCAACAGTTGGAAGGATAGCAAGAAAATACAGATTGATCTAGAGAGAATTCAGTAACGTAGGAATTAACCAAATGAGATCCAGCCTGAAAAAATGAAAATTTAATACACGTGAGGGGGAAAATGATCTATACTGCAAATACATTAGATGCAGAATTAGATAAATACAGTGGTTAAGTTGAGCTTTCAGCCTCATGTTAGTCATGAAATTTAGGACACGATTTATAAGAATACCTTACCTAACCCTATACTTTTTAGAGTTCTGCACTTCAATCACATATGTGGATCTTCTCAGGAGTTTCTTAGACTTTGGACTATAATTAACTCCAGTGAGATTAATCACTCCTTTTATTTTTTTACAGATATGCTTGTACGTATATTTTCAAATATTCCCTAGCCTATTGATCAATATTTTTGCACATTATAACTTGTCTTTTATTTGTAGATTTTTTAAAACATGAATCTTGGGGGGTGGGGAAATGTCATCTGCATTTTTAGCTGCTTAGTTTTCCAACTTGGGATTCAATGAGACTGAGGTCCTATTTATGTTAGAGTAAAATTGACTTGAGGTAATATTCTATCTACACTGTTTCATGAATAGTCAGCATTTTGCCTCAAATATTTTCACTGGAAATGGGGGATTAACATTCTATCTAATTTAGCAGTTTTATCATTCCTTATGGATTACTTATCAGTCTCTCAACACTAGACATGTTGTAAGAGATAAATCCAACTAGTTGTAAGTTACTTAGATAACAGTTACTATTGTTAGTGCTAACATTTTCAGTGTACATTAAATTGACAGTACCATGGCTCATTGAACCAAATACCTTCATAGTCTGGAAACACAATAAAAACTCTCCTTCTCCTTACTTGGTAAAGGAGTCTATATGAACACAGTTTACTTGCCTCAGTCTAAGCCTGTGATTGATAACTAGGGTGCTGCAGCACCCTTGGGTGCCTTGAGATCCTAACACAAAGTTAGCTCTGCTAGGCATGCAAATATGATTCACAATATATGTATATCAGAGATTTCAGATAGGAATCCATAGTGTTAAAAACAGTCTGATGTGCTGTGGTCTTTCTGAGTTCTTTGTATCAGAATTGTTCTATTACCTTTCTATAGTCTAAAAACAAGTGAAAACTGAGAGCTGGCATTTCCCAAGGGGTACCTTGAGCCTAAAAAGGTTGAGAACCGCTGGTCTAAGCAAAGACATATATACTCTCATGGCATTTTTATTTTCATAGGCCATGTCTGCTCTGAAAAAACCTGTAATTTTTTTTTCACTAATAGCAGTAATAGAAGCTGAAGTGTGAGTAGCTTCAGTCATCATACCATATAATCCTGTTACGTCTATTTTAAATAAAATGCAATACTCACTGCTTTTACCATGAATGCCATTTATTAAAAGTGTGCATCTAAATATTGTCTTTTACTGCACTGGTATATAAAAGGACATAGGACACAGAGAAGTAATTCCATTTCCCACAGTCTTATTTGATGAATAAAAGGGGATCTTCCACAGCAGGGGTTGGTAACAATTTTGGGCAGAGTGCCAGAAACATCCATAACTTCAGCTTGTAAGTGTTGGCATGCCAGAGGCAGACAGTGGGGGATCCACGAGAGGACCCGATCCTTGTTGTGGCAGTGCGGTCCTAGCCCCTTCCCCAATGTGCACATGCCGAGCAAAATGCCTGTGTGTACCATGCTCTGGCATGCTTGCTGCGGGGTTCCCTCCCCCTGTTCTATGGCACTGAAGAAAAATATTCTTAAGGAGATTTCCAGCTAAAGCTCTAGCTGATGCAGTATCTCCGAAGAAATGTAGAACACAGTCAGGAAATGTCTAGAACCCTATGATAGTTGGATGGCACATTAATAGTATGTTGTTCCTGCATTGTTCTCAACAATGTGAACCCCACTAGCTCTTCATTTGCTTTGGGAAATCCTTCATGACTGACAGGTAGAAACTATGGATTTTGTCTTTTCAGCTGTACCTCACCATACCAGTAAGGGTGGAATTATAAAATCTTTGAAAACATGAGTAAAGATATACATTAATAAAATCATACCATAATTGATATCTTGACACCTTATTAAATACATTGTTTCTATGTAGGTAGATCTACAAAATTCACTTTTTATGGAAGTATATTACAGTTCACTTTAAATTTGTTTAAATTTGTAATCAGAATTCCTTACACAACATAGACCATAAGAGGTACACTGGGAGAATGAGTTTCATGCTCTTTGTTGTGAATAAATATTTGTATTTATTTTACCTGAATTCATTATATTCCAAGTAATTTACAAGTCAGGTTTTTTTAGATTTAGTTGCTCTTCTTTCTCTAAGTTAAGGCAGTAAGAAGATTGCATTTTCATTTATCCTTACTACTGTATTTTTACATACTATGGTTACTAATTGAAGTATAGCATGAATTCTTTATCCATTAGGTTGGTGATGGCTTGCAAGTGATGAAAAACAGTTTCCTTTACACATGTCCACCTTTGTTAAGGCTGTCAGGCAAGTGTGATATCCAGGGCCTATGGTGTCACTTTGTGGGAACTGATAATGTAATCTAGCTTCTAAAAATAAATTAAATGCATCTTGTCATCTGTTCCATATAACTGTAAACAGTAGAACATAAAGAAAAACAGTCTAACATGAAGTATATATCTAATCTAGAAAAGTTTGCTGTTCAGTGTTAGACTAAACCTTCACTTTTGGTACATGTTCTAGAATTGGTTGGAATTCTCTTAATGTTAATGATGTCTCTATCTGTTGTAGCATCTTCAACAGCAGAGAACCCCACTACTGCCTATAGACCCTATCCTGTACCTCTGCTTATATGAGGAATCCCACTGAAATAATTGGGATGACTTGCATTATTAAAGGTTTGCTGGCTTGAGCCATTGGAGGGAAAACTTATGGGAAAGGCTTCTTTTGAGGATCTGTGAAACACCATAGACATCTATGGTACTACATTAACGTTGAAGGATTATATTATGAACATTTATATTGTTTATTTGACTTAGTAGTTTTATGTTGTATGGCTGATCTGATTGCTCAGAGTAAGTGACAAATTCCACTCTGGTTATTTTATCAGGCAATGTAAACAGGAACAATTCAATAAAATACCTTTCTGTTCTCTTTTCTTCTAGGCCTGCATTGCAACACTTTGCTTGACATGTTTTGTTATGTGTACATGCTGTTAACCTTTTATTCCTTACAGGAACAGATTATTAACATAGTGTACTATATCTTTCTTCTTTCATACTGATGGAAGCTAATGTCATTGTATAAATACTGTAATAATAGACCCCTTATACATACATGAGATTGAATAAAAACAGAAAATATTCATACACAGTTGATGCTTTTCTGCACGTGCTCTTTTGGCTATGTTGTAACTTTTAATAAAACCTTTCAAAGATTTACTTGTTCACTGTTTATGCTTATTAAGAGTACATCTGGGTTTTATTGAATCTGGGTTTTTTGACCTTTCTAGTTCTACCAAAGTAACTCAGTTTTTCCTTTTGTCCTAGTTTAGACTTGGATCACTGAAGCTACAGAAAGTCTCAGCTCCAGCTGAAGTCATTCAAGAGCTGATTAGCTATTGCCTAGATTGCATAGCAAGACTTCATGCCAAAAATGAGCACCTGCAAAAAGAAAACGAAAGGCTTCGAAGTGACTGGAATGACGTACAAGGACGGTAAGTTCAAAAATGTGTTAATAGGATATCCTTGTAGTGTGTTTTGATGCAGTCTACCTATACAACAAAACATTCCTGCTAATACAGTTTATTGTGGTAGACACTACTGGGGATTTGCACAAAGTGTAATATGTATATTTCTTTTTATTTTAATGTTGATAAGTATTTTGTAGCAGCTGCTTCCCTTCTTCAAAAGGGAACTTAAGATGGTGCCATAAAAAAAATCTAGCTTTACATAGGCAAAAAAATATTCCATTGAAATAACTGGTCTTTACCTCTCTTCTGAAAAAAGCTTTGTGCATTTTTTTCTGAGGAAGTCCTTTTTGTGTCTTTTACTTTGTGTAAATTGGTAAAAGTGAAGGTTAAGTATCTTGTCAAAAAGTCAAAGGTTGCAGCAGTCTCATGGGGAAAATTAAGTCAAATATACAATAAAAATTGCACAAATCATATTTGTAATGTTTTATTTCTCAGTAAATGCTATTTGAAATATATGAAGCCAAGTTTATCTGTAACTGTGTAAGAAACTAGCTCGGTGGTGAGCTAACAAAATATAGAATCTTCTGATTTAAAATAAGAAAAGAAAACAAATGACATGGTTTGTCCTTAAATTTATTAGAAGCATTTCTCTAACAGTTAAACAATGTTACAAAGTATAATGTATTATAGTTTGTGTGCAGGACTACATTCAGTCTTATATTAAGATGTAGTGTTGTACCTAGTAATAGGTAATTCCAAAGGAAGAAACTTCACAGCTTTTTGACAGCCTGATCCTTTGAAGTAATGTATTTAAGCATTTTGAGGTCTCTAGGTATACCTTATGGTATAGATCCTCTGCCTAGCACTGCCTTTGACAGTTGAGATGCCACGGTCTCACTGCCAAGGCCCTAGCATTTGTTTTTTAAGTTGTGGCAGATGTTCAGTTAAAGGTATGATGGGATCTGATCCACAATTGTGGGACTGGAGATCAGATCCCAATTGTGCTTTCTTACTGGTGCAGGTACTGATCATGATCTCGGGCTCACCTTACATTGGTAAGTAGGAAGCTGAGTGTCTGGTGCACCTGGCTTTGAGTCCCAGCCTGGGAGAACATCAGAGTCAAGGTTTCTGATGTGCCTTTATGGCTGGGAGCCCCAATCACCTGATTGGCCTGGCCACATGTTCATTTTAAGGTGCTACTAGAACCAGCCACAAAGATGTTACACATACTTTATGTAATAACTTTTTGGCTTATTCCCTGTTTTATTGAATGATTAATCGTATGAAACAGTGACCCGGTTACTACTTAAGATGTGGTTAATCATGTCTTAAGTATATCATCTGCCAGGGGTCTTAAAGTCCCCAGAAGCTTAAAATAATCTTTCTCAAAGTTCCAGTGGATAGTCAGGCTTAAAATTTCAGAGGCACATAATAGTTCAAACATATAACAGATGCTTGTAAAAGTTCTAAAACTAATTACTCCTTTCTTCATAGATTGTGAGAAATTTTTAAAATACTTCTATGAATTTTCCTGACACCATTTCCTCAGCATTCTTGGTTTTTTATTTTTGTGGATTTTGGTCAGTATCTTCTAAGGAGGCCAGGTTTCTTCCTATGTCCTTGCCTTCCTGCACATTTTTTCTCCTGAGGAACATGGACTTTCTCTAATCTCTTCCCCATCTCTCTAATATGTCCAAGGAAAAGACTCTCTCTTCTATAGTTATCAGTCGTTTTTGTCAGGTAACTAGTTCTCCCCAGAGATGGTCATCTGTTGCTCAGTTACTACCTCCTGAATTTCCACTGAAAAAATAGTTGTCCAAGGGTGCACTATTTGAACAGAGTGAACTTCTTGCTGTTCTTGTGCCAGAGGTAAGAATTTTTTCTGCTAACATGCTTCAGATTTTAGCAGAATGGGAAAAGACAAAGACAGTAGAGAAGTTTGAAGCTCCCTACATTCAAAATGGGCTTTGAAGACAGATTGCTCAAATTGTCAGAATTTTAACTATTTTACATTCTTAGTCATAACTACATGCATTACAACACGTTGATGAATACATGTGAGGTGCTGATTGGCCTTGATTCAGTTAACTCACTTTTTCTCACTATCCTGTAATTGCAGGATTGGGCTCTACAGCCATTTTACCGCTTTGCAGATGGTGTAAAAAAGGCACCTTTGTTAGACTTCTTGTGTTAAAATCTATGGATTATTGCTGAGTACACTGAAATAAATTGAAAAATTCTAGCATATGTTATTTAAAACTATAGCACTAGATTTAAAAAAACAAAAAACCCCACCCCAATCACTTGGTGGTAAAGCTCAAACAGAGAGAGATTAGAGAAACTGTTGCCATTTAATTAGGAGCTGAAGAAAACTGGGTGGTTAACACCCAGTTACTTTTAGCTAGATAATAAAATTAGAACTTAATTATCATTTGGCTATGTTATGCCAAACAGTTTAGTTTACTTGTTTTTACTGCACATAAAAATAGTCATAAAGAGTTTTAGAACACCCTTTCTTTGGGTGTGCATACACACAAAGAACAGATTAATTAAAATATAAAAAATAAATTATAATATTTTTATTCATATAAATAATTCCTAAATCCAGAAAATAAAAGGTAAATTTTGATTGGAATGTGGTTTGTTTTATAGTGATTACTAAAATTAATATGGATGGACTGTAGTTAAGATTGCTGTCAATTTATATTGTAGTCAAGTATAGTAACAGAAAAATTGAACCATAAATTGCCTATAAAAATGCAGGTTGGGCGTTTGGCACTTGAAAAAAAATTATTTGAAAATGACTTCTTAACATTAGCTCATCAACATTCTGCACCACTACCACAGAAGAAGAAAAAAAAGGGAATAGGGTGCAATTTTAAGAAGGAGGTGAAGTAAACATAAGAAACATTGTGATATTAGTATGTGGCAGGCGTAAAAGTCAACATTATCCATTATCTGCCTGGCCTTGGGTGCAAAAATATATGTATAACTGCAGCTGGTTCTTCAGCTCATATTATTTCTGCATGTCATTCTTTCTTAAGAAATGGACAGTTACATCAGTTACCTTTTGTTATCTACCAGTGGCAATTCTGATTAACATTAGCTGCTTTCAGTAGGATGTGATAGTTTCCTGATTGATCTGATCTCAATTACATGTGACATTAAAAGCTTCATACCTCTATTACCAAAAATAGCTGAGATAAGACTGACAACACTATCTGTGCCCATTTGATTTACTCACTTTTGATTTTTTTTTTTTTATTACATTTGAGAGTTGTGTTTTGAGATTCATCTGCCCAGCCATATACAAAAGCTATTAAATTTCACTGAGACAAATCACATGCAAAGCACAAGCATGTGGCAAATTGCAATGAAAGGTTGTGTTAGTAGAAGATAGCATGCTGGAATGAAATCTTAGCCAAATTTTCTTAGTGCTCATGTAATACAGGTAATGAATGCTATAATGAATTAAAAATAAAAGTATCTTTGTTGATCCCATACAAATTCATAGCCAGAAAACCCCACTCCTGCCACATGATGTATACATGGCACACCTCTCTATCCAAGCAGAAAATCACAGCTACTTTCCAAGGTGCATTTTGATTAAAGTGTTGTGCAGCAATCTTAAAGGAAAACTGTAACTTGCAAACACTACTCTAATAATCTTTTATCTTTTAAGAATTTTTAATTTAGTATTGTATTAAATAAACAACCCTATGCTGGATTCAGCCCATAGACCAACCCCACTTGTGGGGTCCATCCCACAAACCAGCCCTGCACCACTCAGGCTAGTGGGGCTAGGAGGTTGAGCACCACTATCTGTACCAATCTATGACCTTTAATTTCACTCTTCATATTTCTTAAAGGGTGACAAAAGTGACTGTCCATTTCCTGCATTTCATAAAAAGTTCATACAAAATTAACCTATGCCATAATACTAATTCACTTAACCCACAATATTTTTCTGTGTCCCAGCTCCAGCAAACTCTGCCATCCCATGTATCAGTGCCGCAGTGCTGAAAAATGGCAGCGGGGGTGCTTTAACTAAAACTTGTTCGGCGAGCTTTAGTTAAAGCATCCCCGCCACCATTTTTCAGTACAGGAACTCTGATACATTTGGCGCTCTGGGTGGTTTAATTACAGCAGCTTTTGGAGCTGCTCTAGTTAAAGCACTTCCGCACTCCCTCCCCCACAACCTTCTGGAGCATTTGTATAAATGCTCCTCAAGCAGATCATTCAGCATGCCCCACAGGTTACAGACTGGACCTCACTCCTGCAATGCCTCCATCTCTCATACATGGTACTTCATGGCCATGTAGTATCCAAATAATTTTGGTGAGATTCTAGACAGGTACATGTATCTGCACATATACATGGATGAATTTGGGGCTTTAGGTTCTCTCTCACCGAAGGGGAAATTGATTTCCAGACTCAAGGCTCATTCATTGAAATTGCTTTGCATGCAGTTCCTTTTTTGGTTATATCAACAACAGCTAGCTAGTAGTGGAAACACCTCAGGTGATCTCAGGGACTGCAAGTTGCTGTTTCTTAGGGTTGTTTTGATTTTTGACCTTTAGTTAGCCATTATTGACGCATTTTGAGGTTTTTCCCTCTGCATTTCATACACACTAAATCAACATTATTTCCCCCCCCAATATGAGGGGATTTTAGGGGTAAATAGACATAAGGTTCCTGTTGAAGTAAGTGAAATTAAATTAACCATTTATAGAAAGAAGTTCTCTTAGTATTTGTTTTAAGACTGCTGTGCTTTTAAGTTACACCTCTCTTTATTCAGGGATAGATTTAGACAATTATTCCATGCTGCCATGCCCCCTCTAGCTATGAATTGGATGCAGATGTCCATGCCACAGCTGGTGGTTGTTCTGTTGTACTTAGGCATTTTTATCTTTTCTTTTCCTCACAAAATGGTTAACGTTTCCATTTCTAAATGGACGTTCTCCTGGTAGTTGATTAGTACATATGATCTTTCATTTAAGAATTTTTTAACTGATCTATATGGTAATGATGTTTGGCCATTTGCATTTAAATTAGATGAATTATTTATCAACTCTTAAACATATCCCTAAGCATATCACAGTAGACTTGTTAATACTTTATAAGATTCTTTTCTATTGAGTTTTTATTTCATTTCACGCATATTACATATACAAATGAAATAATATTTACACGTGTTCAAAATATAGTAGTGTTGCTATTTTCATTTTAAGTTATAACTTAAATTATTGTGCTCTTAAATTTAATATATTTCTGAAAAATGACATGCCTCCTTGAGTAACTGTATCACCATTTAGGCAGTAGTGGATTGCAGAATATTTTATAAAAGTTTGTGGTATTATACTGTTTGCCCTACTAATATAATTGGCATGCCTATGTTTTGAAATATGCTGTGAGCAGCAGGCTCATTATTAAAATGTGCATTTGCTGCTTTGAATATTTCTGTACTACACAACAAAAGGAAAAACCATGTAAAATATGCTTATGTTGAATGTCAAGAACCAAAAAGTAAGAAAATGCAAGAATTAATCATCTTTAATTGAGCCTCCATGAGCATCCATTACAGTGCAGTCTTTAACTTAAAGATCCAAATTTTCCACAAGACTCTTGCCTAATTCAGCACACAAAATGTTGTTTTATTGTTCTTATTACCATACTTACTCGAATCTAACGTGACCCTGAATTTAAGATGACCTCTCTAATAATTAGGTTAAATACATGTAAAATTTATAAATTAGTTATAATTTTCCATGTACAGAATCTAACTATTGGGAGGGTTATCTTAAATTTATCCCCCTGCACTGCTGCAGGGGGGCCGGTGGTATGGGGAGGTCAGTTAGCTTGACCCATGCTTGTCCTTGCTCCCCTGCCAGCTTCCCCCTGACAGGCTTGAACCCCCCTCCCTGTCTACCTCTGCTTCCCCTCCTGCCCTTCCCTCTCCCCTCTAGCCTCTGCTTTCCCTCTCCACTCCAGCCTCTACTTCCTTTCCCCCCACCAGCCTCAGCTTTCCCTTCCCTTATCCTTGCTCCATACTGATAGGCTCTGTTCCTGTTCTAGCCTGGGACACTGAGCTAGTGTCCCTGGCTAGAACAGTCCCAGTCCCCATAGCAACTCTGCACTGCTACTGTGGGTGTGGACTGGGGCCTGCCTGCTGATGCAGAGCAATGGTAAGAGAAGGAGAAGGACAGGCAGGAGAGCAGAGGCTGTGGGGTGAGGGGGAGATGAGGAAAAGAGGCTACAGGGGGAAGATGGTGGGGTGCAGAGTTGGCTGGGTGGGCAGCTAGCAGCTGGGGTTATGGCCCAAGCCTCAGGTAGGGGCTGGAACCTGAGTCACAGCAGCTACCTGCCCCCTCACCACCCTCATACTCACTTCTAAGATGAGGGTTTTTATCTAGGTCTCTTGTTCAATGGGGGGGACGACAACAGGACCTCATGTTAGAATTGAATAAATTGAGTATTATGTAATCGAGTATCATGTAGTCTTTTTATTTATTTTTGCCGTGCTATACATCTGTTGTTGATTTAAGCTCAATTAATCAGTTCCTGAAAACATATTTTTGCATATATATATTGGGTAGGTCATATACAACTTCAGAATAACCCATTTCAAAGTTCTCACTCATAAAATTCTTACTATTTCCTAGAGGTGCACCAATACATCAGTTGCCTATTGGATCAGCACTGATAAATAGGGAAATGACATTATTGGCTATCAGATTTTTTTTGGCCATTGTAACCTATAGTGTTTACCCATAATTATGCCTTCTGGCCAGGGCCCTAGAAACCTGAGTTTCCTTTCTCCTGTGGGCCTGGGGCCCCTGAATGCCTGGGTTCCCTCGGGAAATGGCTAGTTTCCCTTTGTAGGTGGGCAGCAATCTAGCCTGCAATGGGTCCTGCTTGGGGCTGCCGGGAGCAAGACACAGGGGGTGCTGTGTCCATAGACATGAACAGGGGGTGCTGCAATGAGTCCTGCTTGGGGCTGCTGATAGCAAGACACAGGGGGCTGCACGCATGCACATGTCCAGGGATACAGCCAAGCAGTGTGGAAAAGAGCTCCTTGCAGGTTAGTCTGTGGAGTGGAAAGGGCATGGGGCTGGGGCTGGGGCTGGAAGCATTGCCCAGCCAGGATGGTGCATGGGGCCCAGTGCTGGGGCAGAGAGTGGGATGGAGCCACGGGCAGCTTGTCCATGGGTCACAGAGAGGGTGCTCCCTGAAACTGCATGCACCCCCCAGGGGGAGGTTTGTGGGGACATGTGCCCCACCCAGATTTGTGTGTGGGGTGAATGTAAGCTGCTCATTGTGGGCTTGGGGCTCTCTGCTCTGCTACCTTTCCCTCGGGAGCTCTGCACTGGCCACGTGCCCCCAGCCTGCCTGGCAGCAGTGGGAGTGGTGAGTTATGCGGGCTGGACAGGGGAAGCACAGCTGGTGTGGTGTTCCCAGGGTAAAGGCAGCAGTGCTGAGAGTCTCACACCCTTCTGCCCTTGCCCTGCTCGGCCCTGCTTTTCTTAAAAGCGTTCCTGTGCTTAAAAATGGTGGTGGCAGTGCTTCAACTAAAGTTCATCTGATGAGCTTTAGTTCAAGCGCCCCGCCGCCATTTTTAAGCACCGGAACACTCATACATGAGACACAGGAGGCTGCTCGAGCAAACCAAAAAAAAAAGTTTATGTCAGTACTTTAAAATCCCTTGCATTTAAAGTAAATCAGTTATTGGATCAGCGTCGGCCAATATGGTTGGTTAACATTTGGCTGTTGGTATTGGCCAAGAAAGTCTTTATCAGTGTACCTCTACTACTTACATATGTACAATTAGTTCCTCCTATGAAAAGTAGTTTGTATTTAATACATAAAAATCATCCTCGCATCCAAAGAAGATGTAACATCTTAAAATCTTAGCTTTACAGTTCAGATTCTACAACACAGGATGTGTTAGCAGTGTAATTGTTTGAGTGCTAGAGAGAGATTAAAATTGAAATGAATCCTGTTTAGTGTTTTTGTTGAGATTGCCAGGAAGCATCTTCAGTATCCTGCTGGCTCATAAGAATAGAGTTTGCAGGAGGAATCAAGGGACAGTGAATGGGCAAGTGTCCACATAGTCTGTGCACCTGCTTCTGAAATCCTAACAAACTAAGGGTCTTGAGAATGGTGTGCACTGCCCGGATCATCAGATGGAATTTTAACGTTGAAGCCAATTTTGGAGAGGTCTATATTTTTTTTTTTATTCTGAGAGAAAGAGTATTAAAAGTACAAAAGTGAACAGTGTCAAATTTAGGCCTATCAAGCCTTAGCCTTTCTCTGTATGGCCCCTAGTGGATGCCAAAGCAATGGTCCAGTGGGGATCGGAAGAATTTTATGCATGTCTGACATGGTAGGAAGTGCAGTGTTTGGGATGGGGCATAAAATTCCTTCAATCCCCATTGAACCACTATGGAGATCCCTCCAGCCCTGTTCTGCAGATTGCTAAACTGGTAGAAGACTTAGCTGATTGCCCAGGACAACACCAGGTCTGGTTTGAGACCTGAGGCTGTCCCATAGCTGGGGCCAACAATCAGCTGAGATCCATAGTCTTGGGGTCCACTGGTGCTACTCGTTCAATTTATGGTGCTGTTTAAGTCAGAAAGATGTTCCACAGTTTTTTGTGGAATATTTTTGTGGTTGATTTGCAACTTAATGGTGCTGTAAATTGACTGCACATGTAGCAGTGTTACTGTTTATGGTGTGATTTACACCTAAATCACACCATAACTATAATATGTGCCAGAGGTCTGTATGTAATCTCTTATGTATGTTACTAAAGTATATGTACTGTATTGAATTCACTGTTAAAATTAAAGTAACGCTGTTGATATCTAGCATGTGTAGTGTATATATAAAGAATATTTGTAAGAAAGAGGAATTAGGAAGAGATTTTTTGTGGGAAGAAGATTCCATAAATGTCAATTAGTAGCATTTTTGCACATTCTGCTAAAGTTGCTTTTTCTGACATGTTTGGATATAATATAATAGACCATGGGAACCATTAGTATGGTCATGTGTGACAACTTCTGTGTTAGGAGTCTTGGCCTCCCTACATTACATATTCCTACAAATATACAGGATTTTAAACGAAAATGGTAAAATGCAAAGAGAATAACAATTGTTGTTACATTTTAGACTTGAAATATGTGTGGAAGCTAAAGAAGAATTAGAGACAGATCTTTATCAACGGTTTGTCCTGGTGCTCAATGAAAAGAAAGCAAAGATAAAAAACTTACAAAAGTTGTTAAAAGAAGCTAAGGAACCTACAGAGGATAAAACACATGGAAGGTATTCATAAATTTGCTGAGTTATACAGTGTAACACCTGACATGTAAATAGATTTTAATTTGATTTCAATTGTACAGCAAACTATTCTATGTAATAATAATAAATTATCTTTATATAGTTGCTTTAATTCTAAGGTGTTTTACATGTTTTATAATTTAAGTAGTAACTAAACTTGTGATTTTGGAATATGTCAAGGCAGAAAGCCAAGAAGATTCAATTAAGCTTCCAGTGATATGTGAGATGACTGACATATTACACATGCCAGCATATTGTTATGGGCTTTATTGTTCAATGCTGACTGAAGAAGAAGAGCATGAACTACTGAATAAACCAATCATTAGCTGTGTTTTCACTGACTGCTTCCTATCCAAGTACTAACCAGTACTAAACTTGCTATTTGTGGTGCAGCTTAAAGTGGTATGGCTTTGATGAAAGATGTTTTTTTAAAGTTGAATTTTAAGTTAGTTCTGGTAGAAAATGAATAATGGTCTATGTTGTCAGAGGTAGAAGTCATCTCTGTTCTGTTTCCCCAGAAAACACCTTTCTTCTAAAACGCATAGAGCCATTATTGAATAACTAATTTTGTGATCATTCAAAATATCCACTTTGTTCCAAATTCTTCTTTATATATTAATATTTTGCTTATAAGCTGTTCAGCATAGGGATTCTGTAGTGGTATTAGTCTATGAAATACTGTAGAAATAATAGTCAATAAAATACAAACATAAGAAATGGAAAAATCATCTTTCTTTTGTATGAATAGCACTTCTGTTGAAACTGCTGCTGAAAGAGAAGATGATTATGAGGGCAGCACTGATGAGGAAAGTGAGCCTTTAACACAGCCTGCTTCAGTAGCATTAGGTAAGACAAAATATATTGTCTTTGTGGACTTATCACAAGTAGGCTAATTGCTTTTTATCAGTGGTTTTCAGCCTGTGGTCTGCAGACCCCTGGGGTCCACAGAATATGTCTAAGTGGTCCTTGAAAGATGACTATGATCAATCAAAGGTACATGAATACCTATACTTACAATTCAAAGGGGTCCACACCTCCAGTTGAAAGTTTCAATGGGGTCTGCAAATGAAAAAAGGTTGAAAACCACTGCTTCATATGAGTAAGCCGTAATGAAGACAAAATACTATCTGCAGGTTTTCATTGTGACAAGCCAGCCTGCAAGCATAAAAAGATCTCTGTTGAAGTTGAGTAAATTGCAGACATTTCCAGTTTTTAATGAAGGAGTTGTCATTGTTTATTAAACAACAAATTTCATACTTTTCATAACTAACAGCATGTGGAACTTTTTATAGATTATTTACTAAGTTCAATTTCATTTTAAATTACAGGCATTATTATATACACATGGGCTGCTGGCAGACATGAAAAAAAACCCCGCACTTTACTGGAAGAAGCAGCACCTTAGTTTGACCCAGCTCTACAACATCTGTATAGATTGGATACTTCAGTGGGGCTTTTTTGACACTTGTATCTAATAGCTGATTGAATCAGCTATTAGATACAAGTGCCAAAAAAACTCCACTGAAATGCCAGATCTATAAAGATGTCGGGCAAGCCAGGTCCAAATAATGTGATGCCTCTTCTGGGCATGCATGGGGCTTGGAGCAAAGGCAAGCAGAGTTTACAGTAAAGTGCCTGTTTTGGGGGGTTTCTAATGTTTTTAAGCAGCCATGACGACTGCTAAAATGTGATTGCTGGCAGTTCAGATATGTTAAAAAAAGGAAGGGGTATTATAAAGGGTGGTTGATAGTTATAAAACTATATAAACGGGGTTGTATACTAGTTTTGCGTTGTACAAATGGAAGATAAATATTTTTGTAATAGTTTATTCACATTGTTGATATGCTGTTGGCCTCATGTCAGTGAGCTGTTTTATCTAATTGGGTCAAAACTGGAGAAATATGAAATCAATGCTATACAGAAATTGTCTGTTTTATAGTACAAAGCTTTGCATAATACAAAATCACAGAATTCTGTGCCAGACACAATGTTTTCAGTTTTTTTAAAGGGCCACTTTCAAGGCTGACTTGCATTGAGAGCAGGGTTGCCAACCCAAGGCAGGTTTTTTTTACTAACAATCTTCAAACTTTTAACTGCCAAACTCATTCACTGACGCACGTTTTTGCTGACATACGTTTACATAACATAAATGTAAATATGTAAGGCTCTGAACAAGGGCGGAGTTCAAATTTAGGGGTTTAAGACTAGCCATAGTAAAAATGTGTGGCCATCAGTAAAACATTTGCAGATTATCATTGGAAACAAAGACTTAGGTTGGCAACCCTGCTTGACTACAGCAATAGTTTATACCCTGCTGCCTGCACTGCAGGGATCCCCTACTCACCCACCCACACCGTGGTGCTCCTGACTGAACACCATACCGTGCTTCCCCCATCCACCCGCCCCTCAGACTTACCCCTGCCAGGCCCATTTCCCTGTTCCAAAGTAGAACCCCTCCAAAAAGGACTATTGCTGCCAGTGAGGCAAGTAATATCACAAGCAGTCAGGATGCAGCTGCCCTGGGGTGGTGGGGAGCTGTGGAGACTCTTGTGAGCCACAAAGCTCTGAGAAGGTACCAGGTAGCGCTGCTCTTCTTTGTCTATCCATCAGCACTGCCTCCAGCTTCTTTCTGATGTGACACTTCAATCAACCTCCAGTTGCTTAGGTTTTTTTACAGATGGCTCCGTTTCTTTGTGGATTTTTGACAGGTGTTGTTAGCCTTGTTTTTATGGTCTGTTGTACATTTATGGATTGTTGGCACCCTGATTGAGAGATGCTGAGTACTTAAGGATTTCTCCTTCAGGATTGTTGGATTTGTAGGTTTTCCCTTGCTGTTGCTATTTATCTCTACTGTAGGAAAAACTAACCAATGAAACAAAGCCATAAATAACTGACTGACTGCACATGTTCATGGCCTCTAATGAAAGTTGAAGCTGTTCTGCACTGTGACATGATTGGTTATCACATCTATAGAACTTATGCACAAGTTTATTAAAGACCTATCATTATACACAACTTACAGTTTTCTGATTTAGGCTATGGACAGGCATTCAGTTCCAATTCTGAGAATTTCAGGGAAATTCTTACCCCTGAGAAAGTAGGTTGGGTTGGGGCTGTGCAGGCATTCCAGCCTTCTGGCTGGAGAGCTATGCAGACTCCTCAAAGCCAAGCTCTCAAGAAGCAGCCCTCTTGTGTCCTGCTAGAGGCCCCAACTCCTAGAGGTGCCTGATGATTGACAGCCTGCCCTCTCCATTGCTTGGGAAGGATGCAGGATGTCAGTGAGAAGCTAGCAGGTGCTGAAAAGCAGCAGTTGCAAAGGAAAAGCTCCCTGCCCTGCAGGAGTTTGAGAGATGAGGAGAACTTGACCCCCACCATCCCTGGGCATTACTAATACCCATTAAACAGTCCAGGGGAGTCCTGGGATTGTTAAAGGGCCATCAGGAATAACCCCTGCTGGGGCAGCATGGGAAGTCTCTTGGGCTGCTCAAGCAGTGTGTGAGCTGTGATACCCTTTAATCAGTACCAGGGTGCAGTGTAAAGCTGCAGGATCCTTAGGGCCAGTCCTGCTTTTCCCTGCCTTTGAAGAGTACCACAACCAGACTAGGGGTGGGTGACCTGGGCTCCAGTTTTGAGGAGGGCACAAGAATGTTGGTCACCACTTCTTCCAGCTCAGTTCCTGTCATCATCTGTGCCCAAGAGACAAAAATTGCTTTTTACACTTCTACATAATATGTCTCTTAAAATAGTCAAATGTGAAGGCAGACATTTAGGAACAAAGAATATAGGCCTGGGTTACAGGACAGGGGATCGTATCATGTGAAGTAGTGATTCTGAAAAGGATTTTTGGGGGGTCATGGTGGATAATCAGTTAAGCATGAGCTGCCCATACAAATCTATGGCCAAAATCTTTGAATACATAACAAGGCAAAAACGAGTAGAAGTTGAGAGGTGGTATTACCTCTATTTGGCACTGAATCCAATTTTACTGCCATCATTCACGGAGGATGTTGAGAAATTGGAGAGAGCTCTGAGAAGAGTCACAAGAATGACTAAAGTATTGGAAATCACCCTTTTTAGTAAGAGAGAAGTTCAGTTTGCTCAGTTAACAAACAAAAGTGTGATACAATCATAATATATAAGTAGCTATAGCAGGCAAAGAAATGTGATAATACAGGGTTCTTCAGTAGAGAGTGGAGCAAGATGCAGCAACTGGAAATGGAGAGTAGACAAATTAATGCTAGAAAAAGGTGCTAATTTTTAATAATGAGGGATTAATAGCTTGACTGGGTGACCATAAGGAATAATTTAGCAATGGTTTGTTGGATTCTCCCTCTCTTTAAAAAAAAAGGTGCAATACTTTTCTAAAGGACATTGATCAGGCAAGAATTAATTCAAGGAAATCTGATTTGTATTTGCAAAAGGTCAGACTAGAGAATTACAATGGTCCCATGTGGCTTTATAAATCCATAATAAAAGATAAATCTAAAAAAAACCAACCCAAACCTTTTGTATCTTTCTTTTTTTCCCCTATTATTTCATACATTCTTAATCAAATTATTGGATACATTTCCAAGCTCGGCACAGTATCAGCAGGCAGAGATCTATTTAGTTTCCTATACAGTTTTGCTAGAGTCTCTCATTACTTCTTGATTACAATGTCTAATATGTGGCTCAAAGCCAGAATCGACAGGAGCATGCAGAGGTTTTCTCTCAAATCTGTATACCATTTAATAGTGGTATAAAAAAACCCCAGGTAAACCTGAACTAGTAGACAAGGCAAGGAACAAAACTTATGATCTATCTGAGAAGAGACAAAGCCCTAGAAGCTGTAGAAGCTGAGGAGGAGCAGTCCTGCACTGTCCAGCCATAAGAGCATGGTGCAGGGATCACAGCAGGAGCAGTGAGGATTTTGAGTCTCTGGGGTAGGTAAGGGGCTCTTAGGACAGGCTGCTCCAGTTCAGTTTCTAGGACCAGAAAGTCCAGAGTTGCTCCTATGATAGCCTGGCACACAGTTTCTACACCTGGGTGGGGCAGGGCTTCTCTAGCTCGGCTCTTATGGTGGAAGTGGGGAGGAGCTTATAGGGTTGCTTCAGATGTGATAAAGCTGTGCTGGCTCCTGTTGCTATTAGGGCCCTGCCAGACATTCAAGTTAAAGCTGGGTAGAAACCAGCTATAGTTTTGTTACATATTTTGAAGCACAACTTTGTAGCTGTAATATATGTAACATGTAGCATGGGCCTTAGTGTTAGAAAGAATTGCACAGGTACTTCTCTGAGGTTGATGCTTCATTAAATAGAAGGGAGATGTTCACACTCTTGTTAATGCCCCTGTATTGGGGGTGGGGATGAGATGACAGTGCATCAATATGCAGCGTAAAGGATCTCTCCTTTGCTAGAATGACTAAATATTTTTAGTTTAGATTATGAACTCCTCAGTTACATTACGGAACCCCATTGAAATCAGCAGAAATGATAGGATTTGCTTTAGAGGACAGGTTTGGAAGGGGTTCTAATAAACTTTCATACCCCAAATAAAAAACAGTGAACACCTTGTTTTCCACCCTCTCACACAGGTTCCTATCTTGGGGATTGCATATTGTGCCTTCAGGAGACTATGGCCCTTTACATTTAATTAGTTCTCTTGTGAAATCCAAAACATCAGTGGCTTGACGCTGCTACTGCTTAATAAGCTTTGATCACAGTTATTAAAAAATGCCTCTTATAACAGCACCCAACTGTGCTGTTGCTTTTAAAGTTCAGTCTGTCAGGCCTTCTTTTTTTAAGCCTGTTTTAAGGAGTTTTAGAACTGGCCATTTTAATTCTCTTCAGGCTGAAATAATCTTTTGC